ACGCTAGTAGTCAGAGTAGAAATCTCGATTTTCTTCACGCAAGTACCAACTTCTATGATTCGTCACAGTGGCGGCTCGTGGCTAAAATTAGTGGAAGTGCTGTTCAAAAAAAAAAAAAAAAAAAAAAAAAAAAAAAAAAAAAAAAAAAAAAAAATTAACCTTTTGTTTTAAAATTGTCTAAAAGGAAACAAAAATTTATTTTAAAAAAATTATTTTGAAACTTCATGAAATCTTACAAGAAAAAATTCAACATTTCTTTAACCAAAATTGTTACAGCTCAATGTTTGTCTATTCATTTAAAAATGAAATCCATTCTTGTTTTAATTTGCGCAAAAAGATCAATAATTTTCTCCTTGATCTCTGGATGACAACTGAGGAAATTTTTCTCTATTGAAAGCACTGCAAGCGCATTTCGTCTTTTCGAATTCATAGTGCTTCTTTAAAAAAATTTCATTCTTTTCAATGTTGAAAAGCAATGTTCTGCCTCTGATGTAGTCATGGGAACTTTCAAGAAAATTTTTATCAGTTTCATAATTTCACCAAGAACATCATTTAGATTATTTGCCAAAATAAATTTGAGTAGCTCAATTAATTTGCAGTATTCATGAATATCAGACCTACAATAGAATACTTTTAGCTCAGTTTCAAGCTTTTCTTTTTCAGTCATTGGATATGCATCAGTGGTCAGTACTATTTCTTCTTCAGGATGTTCATTGCTAAAACTAGCGAAGCATTCTTGTTGAACAATTTAGCAGCTGCTAAATGTTTAGTGGAAGAATATCTGTCCATTATATCAATACGTATAAAGTCACATATTTCCTTAGCTTCTGCTTTCGTGCAATCAGTATCTTGAAGAAATTCTCACAGTACTAAAGTTTCTTAATTCTAAAATAGCATTTTTGAAATTTGTTATATATTCATTAACTTTAAACACATAATTCTCTGGATTGCATTTAGTTGTATATTATTTCAACATGAGGCATCTGATAAAAAATGCTCTAACCAAAACTTGAAATTATCACCATTTAGATATTTTAAAATTCCTGTTGCTTTTGCAATAGAAACAATTGTTTCATTTGTTGTTGTTGTGTTGTATTTGATGTTTGATTGAATTTCAGAAAGGTAGTCTTTTAAAGGTTGCAAATTTTCATGAACTCTCTCTATGGTCAGTATGATCAAGTTTCACCTTGTGGCAGAAATACCACACGCGCGGAGTAAAAAAGAAATCACGTTTCCAACAGCATGCCAGAATTTCGGCACTGCAAGAGGCGAGAGTACTCTTCTCTCTACCCTGGTTTCGCGTGCTGCTTTCTGTGTGCGCATGCGCAGAACAGCCAAACACTACGTCTCTGGAACTGTGAAGCGCGCAGTTCCAAAGACTTTCGAACGGGCTGGCTCCATGGGTGTTTTCGTTATTTTCCGCATGTGTATCGTGTAAGTAATATCTTCTGGATGCATAAGTAAATAAAGCGGCCGCAGCCCGCGCAAAACCGCTGGACACTGGTAGTTCGGTCCAACTTTCGAATCCCGGCGAACGGGCTGGCTCCATGTGTGTTTTCGTGATTTTACGCATGTGTATCGTGTATACAGTATCTTCTGGAGGCATACTTGAATAAAGCGGGCGAAGCCCCCTCAAATCCGCTGAACACTGGTAGTTCTGTCCAACTTTTGAATCCCGGCGAGCGGGCTGGCTGCATGTGTACTTTCGTGATATTCCGCATGTGTTAACATGTATGCAGTATCTTTTGCATGCATAAGTTAATAAAGCGGGCGCAGCCCAGAAAAAATCGCTGTACACTGGTTGTTTGGTCCAACTTTTGAATACCACGAAGGCATCCATCCCCTAAGGTAGCGGGCAAGCCCGCTCAGCTGTATATAAATATTATGTATTATAAAAGTATTATAAAAGTGTATTATAAAAGTTAAAAATGTATTATAAAAATGTATTATAAAATGTATTATAAAAGCTTTCAAATGTAATTACAGGAAAGGCGTCGTTCAAAAAAAAGATAAACAAAATTTAATCTTGTCAAAATGTAAGCACTTCGAAGGAAATTACTATGCTGATATCTTTATTAGAGGCTACACGTATTATAATCAACACAGGAGAAGCAGTCTCTCAAAACACAGTTAACTCTTAAATGCATGTGGTTGCCATTCGGCAACAAAGTCATAGTTAGTCAGGTAAATCAAATCAAAACACAAGTTTTAGCTTACTGCATAGTATAACCAATTGGATACATACTGTTGACGTATATAGTTTTGAAAGCTTCAGTGTGATGGCACCACTAACCCTGTAACGGTCATTATTGTGAGTTGATGTGTAGGGTGTGAACATCATTTGTATTTACGAATTTTTGATTTTGTGTTTGTTGTTATTTTGATGTATTTAAAGTTTAAAATTGTTTGAACAAGTTTATAAGGAATGTATTATTACATAAAACTGTTATTACACACTTGCCTGTCATACTTTTTTTGTAAAAAGTTAATAATATTTTTTCAAAATTTCTAATAGAAACTTAGTTTAGTTTTTTTTTAAATATTTTTCCTATTTTATTTAATATCAGTTCTAATGTATTTTTGACTCTAAAAATAAGAATAAAAATTCATGCCTTTAAGGGTTCAGAAAATGGGGTTTTTATTTGGAAAAAAAACCACAGATGAATTGTAAATATTTCTAATATTTTGGACATCAGTTAGGGATATTACGAAGATTCGTTTTTACAAATACGTTGCAGCTGATGATAATATTGAGACAGCATGTGAAAAAAAGTGTCTGGGATACTATAGAAAATGCTAAAAGAGCTGCAGAAGGAAACTCACAGTGAAAGTGATACGGAAGAAAGTGACCACAAGCCAAGGGTCGCATGCGTTCCGCGGGCTGCCAGTTTAACACTCCTACTATAATCCATTTAGTCTTTCTGCTCCGAAGATTTACGTAACTAATCCTTTTAATATGATTCACCTAAAAAAAAAAAAAAAAAAAGGCCACCAAAAATGTACAGCCAGGGGCGATTCTCTAGGAGTGTCGCTGCTGTATGATTTCTCTTAATACTCTACAGCAGACCTGTCTAACCCAAAAGATTGTGGAAAAAGATTTTTGAAGTGAAAATTTAAATTAAAATACCTGCCAGCCGGGGCGGATCAGGTCCGTTTAATCCAACTCGTCTAATCGGGAGTTGACTAGCTTGTCTACAGGCTGTCTAATAAAAGACAAATATATAGCTTAGATACGCACAGGGTCATTCCTAGTGCGGCTGCAGCGCGTAAAAGTATGCGGGCGGCGAAAATCAGGAGCTGCCGAACTCTCGCGATTCCACACCTAAATATCTTTAATTCATTTAAGTACTTGTCATATGTAAGTATTGTTTATACAGTTTGTCATATGTAGGTACTTAATGATTGCGAAATAAAAGTTTTATTCATCATTGAGAATTTTTTTTTTTTAAATTTGGAGGCGGCAATCTTAGGAAAGTACGCGGGCAGCTAATGGCTTAGGAAACGGCCCTGGATACGCTAGTTAAGTTTTATAATCTTCACTTTCTTTTCTGAGAATATTGCTAAATTAGCGTGCCAGATAGCTATTTAGCTTTATTTATTTATTTATTTATTTTTCTAATGAATTTAAAGTAGAATCTAAATGCGTAAATCAGACTGCAGTTTCAAATTTTTATCCTTAAGACTATAATCTGAAATTTTCAGATAGCATTCTTCTCCGCGTTCCTAAATCATTACAGTTGTTTTGTTCTGTACTGTGTGTTTCGCAAAAATATGGCTTTTATGAAGGTAGCTAGGCTGAAATTTAATCATGAATGACTCGCTTGTGTTTATTGCTTTTAAATCGCTTAGTTTGGTGATGAATAATAAAATAAATTTAAAAGAAAAATTAAATATCTTACGCTTTGTAGAACTTTCTTTTTGTTTCGTTTTCCCTAGTAATAATGGAAATAAAACTCTTAACATGGAATTCTTCATTATTAATATCACTGTGATGATAATTTAGCTGACATCGTAATTTTCATTCGAATGTTTCGATAGAGTAAAAGAGGTATAAAAAGGGTATGTAGCTGTTGAAATCTGGTGGTGATTTCTTTTGAATACATTACCTTCAGTAAAAGTTATTTTCTAACACTTCAATTAAATTCGGTATGCAATTCAGTCTCATTATTATTTACGTGGATTGACAATCCAAGTAAAAAATGTCCGCCCGTTTTGGACCACCGCACCTCTTAGCTACGCCACTAAGATTATTGGAAGTCAATAGGTGCCCCGTTTTTCAACGATGCGAGGAACATAAGTACTGCATACAGATTCTTCATTATTTAATAAAAAATACTAAAGGCATTACATCACATAATTAAATAATGAGCTTAGAATTTTTGAGACAGATTAAAAGAGGGCGAATTGATTTTATTGTGTTGGTTGTTTACAAAGCAAAAATGTCCGTTTTGCAGTTCAGTGAACGCCCTTCGTTTTCGTTTATTCTATCTACTGCTTTTGTTTGTAACTTCATCCTTTTAGCGGGAGGAGCGGCATCTTCCCAGGATGAAGTGGACCGACCGAGTTCGCGGAAAAAGTTTCTCGCTCACTCTCTCGTAGGTCGTTGGCGGTACTTTCTCGTACTGTTCTCGTAGCTTTGGCGGCAGACAGCGCAAAGTTAATTCTCAGTCTCTGTCATCTTACGGTAACCCAAACACGTGCGTAGCAGATGTCTTCATCTTATTGTATTTAGTGAGAATAGGAACATCTTTTCCTGGGTGAAAAGAGACGATGATAACTATTGATATTTTATTCACGGTTAACTGAATTCGAAGAAGGAAAGACTAAATGGGAAACATCCGAAATAAACGAAACTCCTCGCAATAAATGAAAATAAGAGTTTCAAGGACGAATCTGCGTGGGATGCTCTGTGAGTCAATCTTTCTCTGTTATGAGTGTTCAAACAGAAGTTTCGATTTTTATTGTCAGAAATGTTAGGTTAATACTAATTTGTTTGCATTTTCGGAGTGATAGACTGAAGAATATAAAATTTTTATTCTTTGTTCATCGAATGATTTCGTGTTTTAAGTTCGTATGACCTCGTTGAGTAAAATTAAATTTTACCAAATATGTTTTTTTACATTGCGTGGTATTTTGTTGAAAATGAGTAATTCCTTTTTAAAAATTTAACAGCTATGAAAGAAGGAACATTTTCTGAAGTGTGCTGAGAATGTTATGAAATTTCATGTTTAGGGAGAATTAATTAAATGCCTAAATTTATTTTTATTTATTTCGTATTGTTTTTTTAAATCAATTTCGCCCTTTATTTCGGTGATTAAGTAATGAAAATTTTAATCCGCCACTAAATACAGCTTCTGATTCAAACTAATTATAATAAGTGTAATTTAGTTTTCATTCTGCTATATTAAATAACCGAAACTTTAATGTATGGAAGTAACTTTATAAAGTTTTTAGAATTTTCGCAATTTTATAACGGAAGACTTAAAGTGTTTTAATATTAATGATGACATAGAAATGACTGTTCTACAAAAAATTTCATATTTAATATTTTATAAAGCATTCATTTAAATAATAAATAAGCATTAATTTAAGTAATAATTCATTTAAATAATAACGAATTCATTTTGACTTCTATAAATTTATAACTGAATATAAATCTATAGTTAATAGCGATTTTAATGTTTAATGCTAATTAATGCATTCATTAAATAAAAAGCATTCATATAAATAATAAAGAATTCATTTTGACTTTTATAAAATTATGACTGAGTGTATATTTGTAATCAAAATTGAACTCTTACCACTGTTAAGTAAAATGCCAAAAAATTAATTTTGTATCCATTAGATTTTCAGAAAAGAAGATTGACTGTTTTGTGTATTTAAAAGGGTATTAATGGTTTTCCTGTGTTTACTGTTATCTTGAAATCAATTTCCATAAATGTCATCTGCTAAAAGCAGTTTCCAAAATAAAGTGTCTATAAATTGCAGTTTGAAGTAATCAGATAAAAAATTAGTTTATTTTTCCTTTTTTAATCAATTAGTTTGCTATATTTTTTAATAGTGACTGAAGTAAGTTTTTTTTTTTTTTTTTTTTTTGGCTGGGGGATAACAAATGATACTAATAAAACTAAGCAGCTGAATAGAAATAAATAAATAAATATTTTGTTTTAATGTTTTTAAAATATATTTGCACCCCTCTATTTGTAGTTTAAAATATGTGCAATTTTCTGTAGCCTCAAAAATTAAAAAAATTGTGAAAATATGTGATTTATAATTTCAAAATATGCATTTAGTAGAAGAGGTTATGGAGAAATCCAAGAGCTGTGAATTATCCTGTCATGTATTCTAACTATGAGCGCAAATATGTTACAAAGACTGCTGTCTGACTGCTTATGCAGTACTTTTGTAAAAGAACATTGTTTTGTCTTTTTGTTTTGAACATTTTTATTTTTATTTCTTTTTATTTTTAAAAATGAACATGAACTATACAGTACAGGCACATTATTTTTCACAGCTGTACAATTTATTAAGTGTTGCACTAAATGTCAAAATCTCATACTTTCATATCTGTAAGTATGTTAAACATATGGGATACAGTTCAGTAGAGAATACTTAGACCCTATCTAGTTGCATATAATTTATATTAATAAGCTCTATGAAATTAATGGTAAATAGAAAAAAATGAATTATAACAAATAATAAATTAAAATAACAAAACATTTGAGTTCATTACTTGCAGCAAAATTTGTAACTGGAAATTTAAAAAAAAATTTTGTTCGAGAATTAAATCTTTTATATGTTTGCACATTTTTTAAAAATTTTTTTTTAAAAATTATTTTAGCTTTTTTTTCTTTTTTTTAGGATTTAAATTTGCTTTTTTTACTTTTATACGTGTTTGTTAAAATTAAATTTAAATTTGTTTAAATATATATATATATGTATATTATTATTATATAGGCAATGCTGTACACAAATATTGTACAAAATGTTTCATAAATTTAGAATCTAAAACAAATGTGTAGTGAGCAGAAAAAGGGCAAACATTTTCACTTAAAAATCACTCAACATTTATTAATAAAATGGGTTACAGTAGAGTGAAGGGTACCCCTTGTATTATACCTAAATATAGTTTTATAAAAAGTAAATTATTTTCATAATTGTTTCGAGCAATGGCAGGAGTGGTGGAGCAAGTGTGTGTGTATTCGTAAGGAGCCTACTTTGAAGGTGATGTAAATGTGTATCTGTGTTGTGGTAAAAAAGAGTTACAATGAAATTCCAGGAACTTTCTGACTGCCCTTCGTATTATACAAACCAATACAGTTTTAAAGAAGACTACTTTAGAATGATACATTGGTGTGATATGTTATACAGTCAAAAGTTGTTAATCCGGACTCGTCAGAGTGGTGTCCAAGTATTTCAGGCATGTTAGAAAAATTTTGCATATATCAAATCAATTTTTTAGGAACTTTATATCCAGTTATCGCTTAGTTTTTTTTGTACATGGAATATAAAATTATCTTGTCAACCATGAATGTTGTTAAAGGTCTACCTAAGCTACACCAATTAATCCTGTGGAATTCTGAAGGAACTGACATCTCTTTTATTTAATAAGCAATCAATATTTGACTTGCTTTTATTTGTGCTTCATAAAAGGGCTTTTGTTGATTTCTGCTACAGTACACTCCTGATTATCTGCAGAATTGGGTGGCGCGGCCGTCGCGGATAACAAAAATCGCGAATAATCTGAGAAAAAGCTAAAAACAGGTATGGCAAAAGGAAAAACAGTCATTCCAACTTTGAAAAATCGTTTTATATACAATAAAGAGTAAAATAAAGAGCAGAAAATGTTTAACTAACGCTTAATATTTTAGTACAGTCAAAAGTCGTTAATCCGGACTCGTCGGGACTTCGGCGATTCCGGATTATCGATTTTTCCGGATTATAGATCATCAGTTTAAATCTGGTAAAATGGCATGCAGAAATTATAAAATTCAAAATATGAAACCATAATTTATGAAATAAAGAACAATTATGATCTAAAGGGTATCAAAATTTACAAAAAAAAGCTTAATATTTATTTGTTTACTTTATTAAACATTTCTTTCAATGTAAGTTGTTTAAGTTGCTTCGTTTTTTATGTAATAATATATTCTCTTTAATTCTATAAACAGACATAATTTCTTGTTCAGTTACAAAGTTCCGCTGTTCAAGTCCTATAATTGCTGTGTCGAGAATACCGACTAATTTGTCAATCGAAATTTTTTCGTTTTCAATAACCTCTGTCACTTTAGATGGATTACATCGAGATGAAATACTACATTGAGTAAGCAATTATAAGCCAAATAAAATAAAACATCTTCCCTTAAGATAAGGATAGTGCTGACAGATCAATTTCCAATTCATTGCAGGATGCTGCAGGGTTAAAGATAAACAAACGTTAAAGTTTAAATAAACAAAGGATATGCCTTTATCCATTTTTTGCAGCAATTCCACTTTTTGTTTAATGAACTCCGAAAGATACTTTCGCTTTGTATATCCTTTACATATTAGTAAATATATATCGGAAATTCTATTTGACATAATCGAAAGTTCAAGCTTACTTTTATAAAATTGCTCTAACATTCTGCAAAAAATAATATCCGGATCCAATTCGAAGATTAAGGAACAACGCAATCTGCAACATTAACTGAATTAGATAATTTTAGCTTAGCTTATACCGTCCATTATACATTAAACGCGCATTCGTAAACGTATTTTGCGCATGCACACACGCATATTCGCAGCCGTTTCTGCGCAGCGACGCATGTGCAGAAAGTTTGTAGCTTTGAGGTCCGGATTATAGATCATTCCGGATTATGGGTGTCCGATTTAACGACTTTTGACTGTAATTACCGTAATTTCGCGCGTATAGTCCATGGACTATCTGTGTTTAAAATGCGAATTTTTGAAGCTGCGGATGATACGCTGGTTGTTCACGGTTAAAAATTGAAATTTAAAAAACACGCTGTCATGAACTGCCGATGATCAAATATAAAAAAGCGCGAGATTCCAAGAAAACATTCGTATGTATCGTATCGATAGTAAATCATAGAGCATAATGCAGAACGAATTAGTAGTAGCAAGTAGAGCTCCTAAAATCAAGGCTGGCGCATCAAGCGATGCCAGGATATGAGCCAAAGAAAGTCTTGTATGAGCACTCACTTAGCGCAACCAAAGTCTTGTATCCCAGTATCCTTCACACTGCTTTAACGCAACTGACTGCCAGGAGGGGGGGAAAAGTAGTTGATGCGTCAAGGCTCGCGTTTATATGCGTTTTAGAAGCCTTAGTAGCAAGTACCTGGAGTACGAAAAAAAAAAGCGTGATTCGTTTACTTATAAAGCGTGGTTTGGCAACACCGAGTGAGTGGTGTCAAAGGTCACATTTCATTACCACTTATCACGAGTATAGCACTTGCACAGTATTTTGTTTTCGTATTTTGTCTTTCATCTTCGATAACATTGATGAAACATCACCGGAATTTTACTGCTGAGTTAAACTCAAGGTAGTTGAGAAAGCTGAAAAAGATGGAAATAGAGAAGTGGGCCGTTATTGGTTTAATCCTAGTATTCAGTGCACACGGGATTTGGCGACTTTATGATGAGCAGTGTAAACGGGACATATACGATGAGTAGTTAACGGGTCATTCAAAGAAAATATATAGTTAAACATAGTATATATACTATGTGTGTATATACATATACTATGTGTGTATACTATATATATATACGTTCTTTGGATCATTTTTGGTGTTGGCGATAATTTTCAAAGTCGCACCAAGGCTGCACCGTATACTAGGATTTTACCCCGTTATTTTGAAGTGGACGAGAAAGCGGTGAGAAATTGGCGCAAACAAAAGGATGCGTTTAAAAAGCATGGGAATATTGCCGTATTAAAAAAACGTAATTTCGGACGTATAGTCCGCGGACTATTCGGTGGTGCGGACTATCTGACGATTTTTGAAATTTTTTTTATATAAAATCATGTCTGCGGACTATACGTGCGAAATTACGGTACATTAACATGACATATTAGAGAAACACAATTATTGGATCTGTGAATGTGTATTTCTTAATCTTCTTATGACATGGTTTTTGTTGTTTGGATATTCAAGTTTTATTAAAGAATTCTGCGTATATTTAATAGTGCAACAAGTTATATTCACTATGTCAGTGATTATGACCAATGAATATTTTTAGTACTTAATTATAGTATAGTGTGTTTTGGCATTGTACAGCTAAGTTTCTTATTAAAGATAATTATTTATTTCAGATCTGGTGCTCAGTGTAAATCGCAGAGAAATAAAATGTATCCAATTTACATACCAACAGTTTTATTCCTTTTTATAATCTCCATTATTCAGGCTTCATCTCTAAATGGTAAGTATTTTCATCTTGAAAATTTAGAATAATTTTAATGTAATACATTTACATACACCTAACAGGGAGGAAAGCAATTGTAAACTGTACTTTCATTTTTATGAATTTAAGTGCTATATATATATATATTTTATTATTGTTGTCAGTGAATTGCTTTTATTTATTTATTTTTATTTTACCTTAAAAAAATAAGATGAAAATTGTGATCTGAATTTCAGATTACAATCTAGCATCATAAAAGCTCATTTTTAAAAAATTAGGAAAATGTTTAAAAAATTTTAAAATATGAAGCATCATGTAAATTAAAAATATAGGATTCTGTATCATTTTCATAACATACAGAGTTAGAACCATCCTTTATTAATTATGATAAAGCTGCAGATGTTCAAAAAATTATCAGTTGGATATATATAACAAATTAAATATATTTTCAATTATATCAGATTTCATAATAGATTATTACTAAAAGTGAAATGAAAATTTAAATTATTAGGAACTGCTTTTTTTCTCCTTTAAATGATTGCTCTGTTTGTAACAAGATTCATTAAATTTTAAACTAAAAACTTAATACTTTGCCAGAAGGCAATATTTAATCTCATGGGCTTGAGATTAAAACATATTTCGTGTAGTAGAAACACTTGGCACGACAATTTCATTATTCTTTTGATTGTTCTCATAAGTCAGATTTTGTCAATCCTGTGTTTTATATGTTAAATGAAAGATGTAATTTATTAAAAGAAAGGCTGCATAAAATTTGCTTATGTACAGAGCTTATTATTGCTATTTTTTAAAGCTATCACTGGTGGTTATTGCTTAGTTAATTGAAAAAACTGTCATACTTAGCACAGTGCAATATACATATGCAAAATTCCATTATTGTCTCTGTGGTGGCTGCTTTAACAAAAAAGTACTTCTCAGATATACTGTATATTGGCTTATATGGAAAGTTCTAGACAGATGTCATTCAAAATATTTGGCCATTAATGCCAATCAAAATATACCTAAATATAACCTCTGATCTATATTTAGAAAGCATTTCTGCTAATTATAAAAGATAAAACACAGGACATGTGACTCAGATATGGGAAAAAATGACGAAGATATTTAATTTCAGAAATTGAGATCATATTCATGGTCTGAAAGCAAACCAAAGAATGAAATGCTTCCATTTGTACATAACTAAAATTGAAATATCTGTTTATAAAAAGGTTTAATGGGTTAAGTAATGGGCATTCTTAGGCAGACTGCTGTGAAAGATACTGATCAATGTAGTTTTTCACCCTACCAAAAAGATCTTATCTACAGAATCTTATAAAACACATATTCTAGGAAATATAGACAGGCTTCATTATTGGAATATAGCCAGTTTTTAATACTTTACATAAATAAGAATTAAGTTTTTAGTTTAATAATTTTTTTGTATTTTATTAGACTGAGTCTTAAATAAACTGAATGAGAATATTAATAGCATATTTTAGCGTATGAAAATTTATAATTACTTATGTGAAAATGCATACTCTGTGTAACAAAATTACAAATTAAAGAATGAACTGCACTACAAAATCATAAAAGAATATCACCGAACGATATTTAAAATGACATTTTAAAGACAAACCGGAAATTATGTGAAAAATCCCAAAATTTGAAATTGTTTATTTCAGTCCAGTTTCTTGTAAAATGAGTCAAAACTTCTCACATATATAATAATGATGAGTGTAAACTTTTATTAAATAGTATGTCATCTAAAAAGTTCTGATGTTTTCAAATCGAAGCACTTTCCTTCTTATTACTTTGTTACTGCCGATATGGAATGACCTTGGTAAAGGCAGATTTTAAAATATGGTCTTTTTAAATATAGATTTTGTTTCAGTGCAGTGCTAAAAAGAGAGGAACCAAAAGGCCATTTTCATTATATTATGTTCTTTTATTTAAAAACGGGGGAAAAAAACTAGTCACTCTGCTCGTAAAATTTATGCTGTATATGGAAAAAGTGTTGCTTCTGGCAACAGAGTTTCGAAATGGTTTAAGAAGATTAAGTGCAGAAATTTGAGTATCAAACATGATAATCTGCTCTGGGTTACCATTCTTTGTAAACAAGGACATGCTCAAAGAAGCTATCACTGAAAATCCACATTGTACACTTCAGGAATTTTGTGACAGACTGAATATTCGAAAAAGTACAGTAGATGATCATTTGAAGAAGATTGGGTACGTCTGTTGCTACGATGTATGGTTACTCAGCATATGCAAATATACATTATTGTACAGTTTTTTCACAAAAACAATATCATTTTCTGCTAAAAAGGGCTCTAAAGGTGGAAATGATGAAACATTTTTCTGTTTTACACAACTAACCCTCATACCCAGTTCCCTTTCAAATCCTTTTACTTATGAACATTCAAAGAATTACCTTGCAGGCAGAGATTTAATTTTCTCAGTTTTGAGAATGCTTCTGAAAGGGCAATGTCATATTAATTTCATTTACAAATAAAATTTTTGGCAAGTCTTAGTGGACCCTAGTTTGACAAACTAAACTAAATGGCACTTTTCTGTTTTGAGAGCGCAAATGGTAAAGTTGCCAGTAGTGATACAACTGATGCAAAACGGACTATCTTCGTTGGTAACATTTTACGCCTCATTTTCAAAACAAGTTGCAGCCATTTCTTATCAGATTGATTTTCTTTCAATACTGGCATACAATTACATAGAATTTTTACAAGACAGTTAAATTTTATGACTGAGGAAAGATTTTACAAGACAGTTAAATTCAAATTTCTTCCTTGGCAATAGAGATGATATTACTATATGAAATCAAGAAAACTGAAGACTACACTAAATTAGAAGCCTTAATTGCTATCCATAACTACCTAATATAAGCACAGATATTGTAATTTCCCATCAATGTTACTATGAGTTCTTAAGCTTTACTTGATAAAAATGCCATTCAAACATGACATAACTGTCAGCTGTTATTTGTACCTACTCCTGCAGCTTAATGCAACTATGGGGGCTGAACCTTATCCTTAGGAAAGGGCTCTGAAGCTCTGTCAATTAAAAACTAAACTTAGTGGCGTAACAGCCCTAATGGGCCAAGGCCTGCCAGTGCCCAAAATCTGCTTTCTTGACCGTGGGCCCCGGGGTGCAGAAGCATATGCCCTGAACAAATGGTTAGCTTGTCGCAGGACCCTTAGTGTTTAGTCCCCAAGCGAACTTGGTACTCATTTTATCGACCCAAGAGGTGGAAATCAAGGAATGAAAGGCTGAGTTGACTTCGGCCAGCCTGGGTTTCGAACCTCGGACCTGTGGAGCTGCTTCATGATGCGCTAGCCACTGCACAACTGGGCCTCAAAGCTCTGTCAATATTAGGCCTAAATATGAGCTGGTTGGCAACAAAAAAGTTAAAACACTGGACAAAGCCTTTGCTAGCCTCAGCCACAGTGTAACCAGAAATTTTTGAGCTAAAGTTGCAAGAGAAGAATAAAAAATTAGCATAGGAAGGTCATAGATGATGGAATTATTTGTGATGTCACAAGTACATAGTTTACATGACCTCTGGTGTTATCACAAATTAAATCTATATGTGTTCCTTAAGTTATGGACTGCAGCTCATTCTTCGTCATTATATTACATAAATAAGTTTTGATGAAAATTTTAACTACATTGCTAAGCTTCCATTATGAAAAATCTTCATTTCTTAATGAATTCTCTGTTAATTTGTTATTTTTTGGCTAATTTTTCATATCCATTGTTGGGTGCTTTTCATGTTTGGATTATTGGCACTGTCGTATTAATTCTTTTAAGCTAGCAATTTATTTTTTTTTTTTTTTTTATTGAGGTAGTATTTTATTTTTACAAACTAGGCGTTCTGAAATCTGGTGCTGAAGTTTTTCATATTACTCGTTATTCACACTTTAGTTAACATAGCAGCTATAATCTGACCTCAGAATCCTACTAACAGATTATGTTACCCATAGGAAATAATAAACAAAGCAGTCAATGAAAAATGTGAAAACATAAGCAACTAATTGAAAATTGGACACACATGCACTCATGGGCTGCAACTACAGAACTGTCAGTTGCTAACTTTTATTTAAGCCTGAATAAATTATTACATTCTATTAAATTAATTTTAATAAGCTAGAGATTTTATGATGCATTAATTTTTTTTAACCAGAAAATAACACAAGAAAATGAAAAAGCAGAAAATTTTCATAGACATAAATTTAGTAATACAGGTTTGTCAAAAATAGCTATTATGTGAAAAATTGAATGATCTGGCAACACTGTAAAACCAAAAAAAAGCATGGCACTTATCAGCTGTACAAGCAAGAACAGGAGTGTTGAAATCTACTGGTTGTCTGGTGCACTGATCCCATGCAGAGGAATGGACTAAAGTCCATAACTTTATAGTTATGTTTAAGTGCTTAAAAATTGATACACAGTGACACTTTTAGTAATAAATGGTAGTTTTCGACTAGAGGTAAGTAATATTTGTGTCAAATTAAATAAGTAACTAAATGCAAATAAATGTAATAAACTATAAACAATTTTTCATCACTAATTACAAAATACTACTTTATAATTGCTGCTTATGTCAAATAAAATAATTATTAAAATTTATCAGAAGTTTATAAGATGTTAGAAATGATTTTTCAGTGAAATATTCAAACAACCCCCCCCAGATATTTTAACTCATAAACACAGAGGTGGAGTCTTACTGCTGTATGGCTGCGCCAATATTCTAGAACTGCGAAACTGCTTATAAGTTATACAGTTATTTGGCTCCTTTTCAGTACTTTCAAGTTGACATAAAATATAACTATTCCTAAATTTTTATTAAACTCTATCCATTAGTTTTTTTAAAATAATTTTTTTAATTTGACGGCGGTCGTAGAGACCTCACCTGTGCGTTTACGTTACTTTTCTCGCTTGAGGGGGAGACTACTTAAGTCATTTCAGCAGCTGGCCTGATAAGAGTTTGTGTGACTCTAGAGGTCTGA